AACCTTCAAGGTTGATCGATATGGCCGCGTTGAGATCGTCAGCATTGATTGTCTCAAACCAGCACACGTCGATGACAGTGCCCTATCTGATACCCTGAGATTCAATGCTAGACCTATCAAACCTAGCGGGATCCTCAAACCATCTTCAGGTCCCACGCTAGATACACCTGAGACCTGATTCTCACGTCCCAGTCAACAGCACGCGTCATCTGCACTGTCTACGGACGAAACAACAGTCTCATGTTCAGATCAGTAGACCACGCCGCCCTTGACTTCGGATGAGATTGCAGGATCACGCGACGCGAACGAGACTATCGTCTCACGTTCCGGTCGCCGAGTACGGTTACCCGTATGCTTTCGTGACTATTCGCACAGTCAACAACTGATACGATGTAGGATTATTCCTATACTACACGCATGCTACACTCTTCTCTTTTTTGATTTTCTTTTTGTTTCCTGAGCCCACGCCTTCGACCATCTCCATTTGGTTCCATCGACTTCAGTCAACTTTGGCGAAAGCTGGCCTGATCACTCACGCTCTTGTCAACGTACTCAGTCGATATATTGGTTTCGAATGCTTAGCATACGCTTGGTCTCGAACTTGGTCGTTGCGGTCACTTCTGGTCTTTTGGCCCAACGTGGTTTCGTCCTACGTCTGCAGCGTTTCTGGTCCGCATTCTCTACGAACACCATCTTCAGATTCAGGATACAAACCACTCGTGCAGCATGTCAACTCAAGCAACAAGTACAGCACATCACTCCTGGTACCGTTCTCCAAAAATAACCTTCGTTGGCAACTCGACGATCAACGATCGCTTTCCTGTTCGCCAATCCGTTCGTCCTACAATCGCTCGTCAGCCGATCAGTCCCACGATTTAAACAGCTATTTATCGAAAGTGTAAACCCTTTCTAGCGGTAGGCTCCTGTAGTGACTCACTCTTATCACGAGAACACGACTGGATTAATAAAAACAATTATTATTATAACCAAATGTACCAGTGTTTGTTTTAATGTGCTTTTGTTTGACTGTGCTAATGACAGCTATATTGGGCTTCCATTCTTATCCTTACACTTCGATTGTAACTTCGCGCGAATTCGGTTGCGTTCTGTAACCAAGCTTGTATCCTGGCACGATCTCGGTATCCTTTCGATACCGCGAGATCGCCAGCAAATAAACATCGACTTGGTCCATTAATTGCCTTATGATATTTGGCTTCTCGGGGATTTTATGGAGTCATTTGGAACGAGCTTCTTGGTAGCGGTGTTCATAGTCAATCTCCACTCGACACCACGCTACAAACTAAACGGTATTTCAGATGTATCTGTTTCATAATTATGAATAGTGATCTAGTGTGTGATTTGAATCGCAAAACAGGAAAAAGGCGGATAATGAGTATTGCATGTACAAACTCATTGTCTATGTACGGTAAATGTTCATCATCATAACATATAAGTGGTCGGTGGAAAATTCACTCTGGAGAACTACCATAACCATCATCAATAAGTTTCAATTATTTATAAACAATTGTCTATGCAAGATACTGAATATGCGTTGGTCGTATACCATAAGCAAAAGCCTACTATGAGTGAGAACGAAACAACTTCCGGCTGAATATAAAATTAGAAAAACATGTGTGGAGTGAATAGGACACACAGTGCTGAAAACATCGAACTGCATCACGAAGCAAGCCTTATTTAGAATCCTGAATGAAAAGAGAAAAGAGGGAGACTAACAAACACACTGTGTCGAGAATTAGTAACAAGCAT